GATTCCGAGGAGTACACGTACTGGGAGACATCCTCGCATGACACTCTCGCCTACGCCTTTTACAGCGTGCCGGATCAGTACAGGAATGTCCCAGCAGTGAAGTCCGCCTCGCGCATTTTCGACCAGATTCCCGACGGCCAGCTCGTGCGACCGGACAAACCGGAGCCTGCGGTTCTCCGCCTCAGCGCGGTGAAAGGCACTGATGACACCCGGAGGAACCTCGAGAGGCTGAAGGAGGAGTCCATCAAGAAAAACGTGGTCATCCTCGGCGCCAGGAGAGGCGAAGATATCGCCCCCAGGATCGGAAACACGATCACTACTCTGTGCGCCAAAATCGGGGACATTGCCCGATTCCTGGAGATGGGAGTGAGATCCAGGGCAGGGCCTATCCTCCCGACCAAGAGTGATCCTGACCTGATGATCCAGGCCATTGTTCCCGCACCCGAGGAGCTTCTGGACTACTTCGCCGACGAGATCCGTCAGAAGGTGAAGGGTAGGACGGGCGCCTCTTCGCACTACTACAGGAGAGCATGCGCGGAAATACGCGACGCGCTCCGTGGAACAGCTGTGCAGCCTGGAAATGCAGGTGCAGTCAAGGACCCAGAGTTGGAGGCCTCGTCTGCCAGCGGGCAAGGGAACGTTACTTCGGTGATACAACTGAAGAAGTTCCTGAGCCACTACTTCGGGACCAGCGTCGAGTCTGAGGATGCTTTTTCTTCGTACCTCCTGTCTTCCTTTCTCGAAGATGGGGTGGGAATGTTCGAGATCATCATCACCGTCATTCGTGACAAGGAGCGTCGGTTGCTGCCTGGTTCCGCCCGCATAGCGGCGGTAAGGTCGCTTGAGATCGGATCCGACACTGATTACCGGGCATTTCGTGAACGATACCAATACATGCTCTACGAGAGCCCTGTTTGTCTTCCTATCACCTCCAAGGTGGTTCCCAAGACACTCTACAAGGTGGTGCCTCTCCGAATGTATCGGCTCTACGTAGAACGTGGGGCGATCATTCGGGGTGGGCGAGCTCTGATCGAGCTCCTTCCCTCTCGGCCGGATGAATATCAATCCCTCCGCGATCACGGAGAATGCCCCAACGACACTGTCGACCGCATCACCGACAGCAATGTGACGGAGCTGCACACCTCGGGTCGACGCCAAAGGAGCGATCCCCGATATGTGGTCATGGCTATCGATGCACGTTTCTTCTCCATGGAAAATGGGGGCATGCATATTACTCGTCAGGGTACCTTTGCATCGCGCGAGAACATCGCGATCGGGTACTGGAGATGCGTCTACTTCAAGGAGGACTGCTCCATCATTTACCTGAGGCCTTGGTGCTATCCGCCCAACTTCCTCAACTCCGTGAGTGATAACCCGAGGAAGTGTCGGGACGAGATGGAGAAGTATCATCAGATCACCAAGACGGAACATGTCCGCGAGGTGGTGTCCGTTCCATGCCATAGGTGCATGACGGCCCACCCGGTCGGCGCTCACCTGTGCACCGCCTGCTACCTTCCCATCTTCTATGAGGGCGTCCTGCCCACCGGAGACACGAACGGCGGCCCTCGCACGATAGCGAGCACCGACGGGGTGATTCCTCCCTGGCTGGCAAAATACGAGGGCTTCGTCCCCGCTCTGTGGAACAACGCAGACGCCAACGCCATCGGAATGGCCCTCTACTCGCAGAGTCCCGCCGTCGATGCCCGGTCCTTGTTGATGTCTGGGATGCGGCCTCCTAAGTACCTTGACAAAGAGGACGTGGATGGCATTTTCCGAAAACTTCACGACTCGCTCCGAGACGAAGTCCTTGACGGCAAATACCGTGACACGGTCGACCACAACGTGGAAGAGTGGGTAGCAAAGGCGATCTTGGTAAGGGGTCTTGCCTTCAACGGGAGCTCCGTCCCCGAATTCTTCGAAGAATATGAGGGATATGCGGCTGAGTGGGGCAGACGCCTAACCACCGCAAACTTCAACGCCAACCGGTGCGGCTTTTACACGTCCTACTACATTCTTGAGGCCCATATCATTGGGCTGAGAACAGGACACCTTTCTCCGATACTCCCCAACGATGTGTCCGGGGAGGGGTTCAAGTTCCAGGTGGGGCTGCTCGCACAGCACTGCGGGATATTGCAGGCCATGCGGAGAAAGGCCGGGTTCGATCCTGCCGCGCGCCTCAAACGGGCTATGGACACGATACGGGAAGGCATTAAGAAGGGGTACGTCTACACCCTCAACGACCTCAGCAGTATGGACGATCTGATCTACCGGACGTCCACCGTTGCCTACGACACCTGCTTGGCCGACCGTCCTCAAACCCAGGATGACATCAAACAGGAGCTGTCCGACCCTGTACCAAGGAAATACCGCTTCCGACCCCGCGATCGCCATCGACCCGGAATTCGCCTTACACCAGGCCCCGGCGTGAAGGACGAAGACGAGCCCGACTTTGCTGGATCAGCGGAGGATGAGCTGGGATCGGATGGTTCTTCGCACGAAGATGACGAGAAGCCTGACGACCTTGACGAGCCCATGGGCGACGACGAGGAGGAGATCCCTCCCCCTCCGCCACCGCCCCCGGCTCCTCCTGCGCCGCCTGTCCCGGTAGAACCGGAGACTCCCGTGGTGTCGCATGCAGGCGTCAGTTCTGGCGATGCTGTGCCAACTCCTCCTCCTCCTCCTCCCGCTCCCATTGCGGCAGGCGTTACAACGACTGGGGATCCGTTTGAGGAAGAGGACATGGCCATCAATACTCGTGTCCCTGACACCGAGTCCGAGCTGGAGGGTGAGTCCGACCAACCCAAGGCCAGGAGGACATCTCGTGGTCGGGTCCCCGCGCCCGAAAAAGGGCAGGGGGGCGTGCAGGTCCCGCCTAGCGGGCAACCCAGCTCTAAGAGCATGGCCCAGCCTGCCCGTCCATCCCCGGTCCCCGCGAGAAGCGGTGTGGAAGGTGGGGAGAGAAGGGGCAGGACCAAGGGTTTCTACACCCAGAAGGATCCTTTTACCGGCGAGGACGCGACTCCCCGAGTTCGTCTTCGATCGGGCGGTCCCGGAACTCCTGCGTCCCCACCACGGGGTGCCACCGGTTCCTTGGGCGGCCATGGCGGCTATGACCCGCGCGATGACGACAACGACGAGTGGGAGCTTCCCCCGGGTGTGCCTCGGACCACTCGTGCGGCAAATGAGTCGCGGCCCCGCCGAGATGACGATCGGTCGAGGACCGCGCTTGGGGCCCGCGAGGATCGTCGCGGTCCTAAGGGTGAGGGGAAGGGTCGAGGAAAACATCGACCTGGCAAAGGTGGACGCGAGGATCCTGGCCCGCCCCGACAAAGGGATGATCGTGGCAGGGATACCCGCGGAGGCCGACGCGATGATCGCCGACCTCCTCCACGTCATGAGGAGACCTCCGAGAGGCGCGGTCCGGGGCGAGATGAGCGCCGCGGACGTGATGACCCGGGTGATGACCGTCGCGATCGCCACCGGGACCGGCCCTCCGCCTCGCCGACCTCCGGCTGGTGACCACAATAGGGGTGGTGGTGAGGATCGCCGTCGGGATGGAGGAGGTGATCGAGGTGACCGTGGTGGACGCCGGAGAGACGACGTGCCCAGGGACCGGGAAGAACCTGGTTCAGGGTGGTAGGCGGGTACCGCAATCAGCATCCGCCTTAGAAGGGCGAGGATAGTACGTGTGTCGCCGAAAAACGCGACCGCGCCGGTCCTCCTCTCGCCCATGCGGCGCTGCTGGGGGTGATGGTCTCCATTGCCCTGTACCGCTGATCCGGCGTTGCTCGTGTCCCTCCCGCACCGCTGCCGTGCGCGCCGGAGACGGTTCCCCTGGCGATCCTGTGTGAGGCTGTGACCGCACTAGAAGTGCCGGGCCGGCCGTAGCCGGATATTTTCACACCAATTTCGGAACTTCCGTTTCTAATTTCCTCCCAACTCGACTACTCTTCCAACCACTCCACGGCGTGCAGTGAGGCGCGGTGATCCAGATAGGGTCCCCCTCCGCATGGTGTCGTCCTATGACAACGCATGAACGGCACGAGAGGAATCTTCGTCTGGTTCCTCCAATATGTCTTTGTTCACTCATGTGGTCCACTCGTCAAATAATCCTGTCGCCCCGATAATTCGGGGTGGTGGCGGGATTTTAACTGGGGCCCAGGTGATGCCGTTTGGCTCACCTCTGAGTTGACACCGACATTTTTGGTTGGTCCCTTTCGTCGTGAACTCAACTGTCTCGCATCCTTTCTCTCGTCCAGATATCGGATGAGGGGGGTGTGTTTTGTTCACGTGTTGTTTCATCATGTGGCAAAACGGCCGAATGGCCGTTTGGCTCAAGTTTTGCCCTCCCGTCAGGGGGGTCACGGAATCTCGTTGCGCCAGCCATAGTGCGGCTGACCGCTACGCCGTCGGGAAAAGGGTCCTGGCGTCGCTGTGGTTAGGCACTGGGAGGTGGGCGGAGGTTCTCTGCGTGATCATCCTGGGCTTGGACACAAACTTCTCTTCCTCAACCTATTTCCTAATCTCCCCAAACTTGATCTTCATTAACTGTCACTCCCACAATCTGGTCACCGGCACCTTCTACATTGTGCTTTGGGACTGGGTTCTTTTGGTACTTCGTGAACCACGTGTACCTCTTTGATTCCCTGGGCTACTTCGTGTTCGCCCAAAACCGCAATTCTGTTTCTGAGGTCAAAAACAACAACGCGGGAGTTGCAGATTGCCGGTCACTTGCTTTAAATTTACCAAAGGACACCAAAGGTCATGTACCAAAACAACAAGTTGGAATTCACACACACACACACACACACTATGATGTTTTTGCGGGCAGCCCATTTTTAAGTTGGAAGCTCGAGTTGACCAATACTTCTTCGAGTTCGGTTACCCAATTATTTTTCGGTAGGACTCTTCAGGGGTTAATTAACGTTTTTTTTCCTTCCCCGAGCCCCCCACCCCCCCACCCCCCCACCCCCCCACCCCCGCACGTCGACTCCGCGCAGGGCATCGCCGCGCTGCCGCGGCAGCTGGCGGCGCTCCGGCGCCTCGCGCCGGATCTGCGGCGGAAGCTTCACGCGCAGGCGGTGTGCCGCGAGGCGGCGCACGTGCACGGCGACCGACGCGCGAAGCCGAGCCGGGGGACTTGGTGTGGATGGAGGCAAGTGGAGGAGTTGGCTTGGTGGTGCAACCAGCCATTTGCTGTGGGCTCCTTAGGTGTTTGAGTTGTTTTTTAGGTGTAGTGGGGGTTTCCATTTGAGTCTTCCATTTGTTGAAATGAGTTCTTCATTCTCCGACCTTGTTGGTTTCAATGGAAATCGAGTTCACCATTGGGAATGTGTTCCTTTTCTTTCTTTTTCCAGGGGACTTAAGCAAATGGGCAAGCCAAAAGTTGATCAGTGAACTGGCGGTTTCCACCACGATCGCATCTTTTCGAGGTTCTAGCCTTGAAGGGGCAAGGAAACCCCGTCGTTGGACAGCGAGTGGGCTCAGAGTCTGTGAGTGTGTGTTAGTTAAGAAAACAAAAAACAAAAACAAAAGAAGCAACAAATTGAACAACATGAGGCTTGAATCCCTCAACCCTGGACATTCAGACATGGACAAGATCTACCAGGTGCCGGGACCGTCTTCGAACCGCATTTCCAAAAAGCAGCAGTGTGTGTGTGTGTGTGTTGAGGGCGCTGGTGTGTTTTTGAGTCGGCCCCCGAAAGCCTCAGATTTAGGAGGGCCAGGGACGAGTTGGGAAGTGGAATCCCGTCCCCTACTGCGGATGGACGAAATCCATTTCGCACCACCTAAGAAACCAGGGAAGGAGTCGATTCCCCTGCAAATACCAACAGACAATCATTTCATCATGGTTTCCAAGAAGTGCAGGATATTGTCCATCCACAGTATTACAAGCAAAGCCCCCTCAGTCCTCTTGGTGGAGGCCTTTCTGCGCACGCGCATGCGGCGGCACAGCAACGGCCTGCGCCTGAGCCGGATCTTCGGAGCGCACGAGGAAGCCAGGCGGGCGCTTTCTTTTCGCTTGCGCTTTCCGGTCCGTGAGTCCAGTCGTGTTGGGTGTGTGTGTGTGTGTGTGTCTGTTTGTTTGTTTGTGTGTGTGTGTGGGGTTCTTCTATTCTTACGATGACACATGTTTTTTTGGGAAATCCACCAGCCAGCACCTTTGCAGGACTGCCTTTTTCAATCTCCAGCCCATTGGATACTTTTCGGTTCTGCACCTGGAGGTATTTAACATGGGAAAAAAGGTCGTTGCTGCAACCGGAGACCCGGGGTTAAGCCACGCCCTGGGGCGAGACAAGGTGAACTGCAGCTAAACAGTTGGTTTTTGTAACATCAAACCCCCAAAAAGGTCGTTGCTGCAACCAGAGACCCGGGGTTAAGCCAAGCCCTGGGGCAAAACAAGGTGAACTGCGGCATAAACAGTTGGTTTTTGTAGCATCAAGCCCCAAAAGGTCGTTGTTGTAACCGGAGACCCAGGGTTAAACCAGGCCCTGGGGCAAAACAAGGTGAACTACGGCATAAACAGTTGGTTTTTGTAACATCAAGCCCCGAAAAAGGTCGTTGCTGCAACCGGAGACCCGGGGTTAAACCACACCCTGGGGCAAAACAAGGAGAACTATACGGCATAAACAGTTGGTTTTTGTAACATCAAGCCCAAAAGAAGGTCGTTGCTGCAAGAGACCCGGAATTTAAGCCCTAAAGCAAGGCGTACAAACACCTCTGGGCCAACTGGTAACATGTTTCAACCCCATCTGTCGAAGCATCCTTTTGGGACCTTCCGCGTGGCTTCAACGGATAGGGCCCCAATTTTTGGTCATTCTTGGCCCAAGCATCGAGGTGTTAGCCAACCCCAAAAAAGGGAGACCCCGGAATTGCATCTAAAACTTCAGTTGCCCCAAGCCGAGCCTTCGACCTTTTGGTTTCCCAGATTTGGTCCATTCTGAGTCGATTGGCTCAACCTCATTTTTTGGTAAGATCATGTGTCATGGGTTTGAGGGGACACTCCTAACATTGAACCAGGTCCCTCTGGTGTTGTTTGGATGAGGGGTCTCGAGTGTAGGCACTCGGACCCAAGAACTCTGATGCCCCAACGGGGGCCTTTGGAACTCTTCACTTTGAACTAGGAACCACCGAGCCATTAAACATGTGCATCGGGGGCTTCACGAAAAAACGTGGACCAAAGTGGGCCAAATGTAGGCAACGAGACGGGGGAGTCCATCATGTTTCTAGGTAAACAGGCGTGAACCTTGGACATATGTCTGGCCACACAAATCGGGTAGCCGTCACAAAAAATTGGTATCCCCCAGTTTCGCACCCATGGAAGCATGGATCAAGATCTACAGTGGTGCTTTAATTTCGACCCATGCCCAGCGGGCCCTTTCCTTGTCCTCTTCTTTTCTTTTATTTTTTTTGGTTTCGTCGTTTTTCGGGGGGAGATACGGTGGATTCCCGAGGAGTATCGCAAGTAAACCAAGCATACTGCCGCAAAACCAGTGGTAATTAGCGGTGAATTCGAGGGTTTCTTTGTCAGTTGTGCATCCGTAGGGTAACCTGGCAGAGGGCTGGACCCGGTTTGCTTTTTGTAAGCTCCCGCGTTGCCCTTAAGGTGGTCGGAGCTGCAGGGCCCCACACTCGCGCTGGTGCTGTTCTACGCGGATGCCCAGCTTTCGTCCAGTCGTGGTCGCCTTTTGCTCGTCGCCATAAGCTCGCTTTGACTAGGTCCCCCCATGCCAGGCACGCACTGAACGCGATCAGCAAGCTCATAGCTGGTTTAGGGGAGATGCCAATCAGCATGATGATCATGATGGCTGGGGTGGGGGGTTAATGGCAAAAAAAATGCAGGAAATCGCTTTGAGAGGAGGGTGTGTCTCAACTCCAGGCACCCACCGAATCGTGTTTCAACCTCCGCTTGAAGCTTCAGGCCTTCCCAGCTAGGTGCCCTTTCTCACCAACCTTTTTTGGGGGAGGGTTCCCCTAAAATAGGCTACGGGAAAAAGGGTACCCGTATTCTAACCTCTACTGGAGGACCGAATGGAGCTGATTTAGCTGTTCATTTTGTGCTTGGCGGGCCTGAAGTTGCTTCTTTTTTTCCTTTGCTCCCTCAAACTCTTCCAAGCAAGCACCCGGATGCAACCAGGTCCCCCAGCTAGGTGCCCTTTCTCACCGTTTCTTCTTTGGTTGGGAGGGTTCCCCTACGAAAATAGACTACAGACAAAAGTTGGTACCCTTATTCCAACCAGCTTTTTGCTCCTTTGTTTCCTTTGCTCCCTGAAACTCATCAAAGCAAGCACCCGGACGCAAGCAAGGAATGCTTGACCTGTTGTTGCTCTTTTCTTTGCTCCCTCAAAGTCATCCAAGCAGGCAGACACACAAGCAAGCAAGGGAGCAAGCAAACAGGCAAACATGCAAGACGCTCAGGACGGCTCGCCCATCCCCTACGGCCTCGTGCATGAGGAGGCCAAGAAGCGGAACATCCTGCTGAGGGTAGGGTCACTGGGCGGCGATATGCGTAGTTAGGGCACTTGACTTGGGATAGGGTCGCAATACGTGCTGGTTGCTAAATGGCCCTGAATCAAAATCCAGTACCCCCAGTGAACATCCCAATCCCCACTAAAGTAGGTTCTAAAATGGGTGGTGCACCTACCCCAAAATGGTACCATTGGTTTTGACCCACAGCCAAATCTGTTTTTGAACTTTGATTACTAGCAACCCACCTCAAAGGTGGTGGACGTGAATCCCCACTGAAAGGATGTCCACCAAAGGGTCCCTTCAACATGACGCCCATAGTGTGTCTTGGTTTTAGGGGACCTCCCAAAATTGCTGGTTATCCTTTTGGTTTTCCTGTAAAAACTCACCCAAAAAGGGGTACCCTCAAAAAGGAGTGAGACGCCCATGCAAAAGATTGATTTCTATGGTCAACACACCCTTCTTGTTGGAGTCATGGACTTTTCAAGGGTATACTATTCCGGTTACTTTGGGTTTCTCAGTGGTTGTCCTCTGATTCGCTTGGGTTCAACAGATCAATCCTTAATCCTTGCAAGACATATGATTGAAGCCATCGGATGGGATTGGGATTTCTTGAACGGATTGAACACCCATGGGATTTCAAGGTTGTTCTCTTTTGGGATTTCATTTTCTCGAAGATCCATGCGCCATGCGCAAGGTGCCACTGCAACGCGGGGGCTTGCCAGCGCTACCTCAACCTCAGCGACGCGGATGTGCGACACTTCTACGCCGCCGGCAAGGCACCCCCCCCCCCCCCGCTTTGTCGGTGCTCGGTTTGTCTCCCCCGAACTGAACTCCAAGAACCCAAACAATTTTCGGGTTTTGTGCCCACGTTTCACTACTCAGGGGTCCTCATGTGGCTGTGGCTCACAAACATGTAAGTGGCACCTTGGTAAATGGAACCAAAGATAAGGCCTGCGTAACAGATTACTAGAAGCCTGTTCTATTACTAGGGAGTCGTTTTTTCCGAAAGTGGTCTGAATCCTCATTAAAAAGGCCATCAAAATCAAACCAGTAACCAGGGCTCTTTATGTTTGTTTGAGAGTGCCCTTTTTGGGGGTGGGTTCAAAAAGGAAACCCAGGGAAGCCCAGTTTGGGGGGTCCGAATCCAAAAAATAGACACACCCAGCTGTCACCTGGGCCTAGTACTCAAATGCAACCACAAACTCTGGGCATGAGTCACTTTTTTGGGTTGGTACACTTCCATTTTTTATATTCAGAATTATTTGCATTTTCTCCGCGTGGGTTTTCCAGGGCATCTAGTCCTGGGCATGTTTTTCATTTTCCAGGGAACGTATTCGCACATGGCTTGGTAAACACGAGCGAGGACTCTTTGGCGCAGGAAGTGCCGTGCCCCGAGGCTAACGGAGCCGTGGATTGAAGCCCATGTTCTCGGTACCTGGAGTCTCTTTCTGACCCCGTAAAGAACATGGGTCCACCCCGAAATACTGTGGATGGACGAAATCTTGCACCACCTAACAAACCCTGGGATGATGATTCCTTTGTAAATACCATCAAGAAGTTGTTTTCCATGGTTTCAAAGTGGTGCAGGAAATATGTTGGGGAATGACTCCAACCATTTTAAAAGGGTCATGGCGGCTCTAGATACTTAAGTGGTGCGAAATGGATCTCGATTCCACCCACAGTATGTGAGCGGAATCCCATCCGGCGGGGGACAACCTGGAGCCCGAAAGGCTTTTTCTTTTTTTTAATGGCCGCTTCCTTTTCTCCACTGGTTTTGTTGGCCGTTGTGAAACAAATCGGCCGAAGGAACGCATTTCTTTTTGGCCGTTTGCCTTCATGGCAGACTTCTGTCAATGCCTGAACAAACGCTTCCCCTAGTGCTTCACGCATGGCACACAAGCTTTTAGAACCAGAATCGCAGCGGCGGAGACGGAGAGCCCAAGCAAGTTTACCAACACTGTTGGTCGAGGCCCAAACGTGCCCCTTACGGCAAAGCCTCTCTTGCCAGCCGAACGGCTGCCTCGGGCACAAAAAATATGCACTTTCCTTTTTCGAAATGAGATGCTTCGACTGGTGGTTTCGGGGTTCCTGCGAAAATTGCGGGTTTTCTACGGATGTTCTACGGGTTTTGTTTTTTTCTTCTTTCTTTTTTGGTGTGTTTTGCCGAACTACTACGGAAGATGACGCTGCGTGAGTTCTTCGAAACATTACGGCTGAACCTTGCGCCGCAATGGCAAAAATGCGACCATCCCGCCAAAAATTACGGCTGTTCCCTCAAAAAAAATGACTGTCCCCTCGAGAATCACGGCCGTCGCTCGAAAAAGCCAGTTACCCCCAGCAAGGTTGCAGAATCGCGGCGAACGCAAAAAGGGTTTATGTTTTTACCCCCCGGCATCGACTCAGGGACCAATATGCACCAACAGACATGCTCGTCGTGCTGGTTGGGACATAGTGACCTGAGCGTGTTGTTCGGAGCCAGCTTTCAAAGTGTGAAGATCCGCCGCCAAAAACGGAAGAATCACTGCCTTGAACAAGTAAGGCCGAGCCTTGGAGAATTGTGGCCGTGCTGAGAAATTATGTTTCGAAAAAATCATTTTTGGTGCATTTTGCTTGGATGTTAGGACTCTAACTTTTTGCCAACTCATGGGTTTTCCATTAAACCACTAAAAGTTAAACTTTTAGCAGGGGAGCAGAAAGCAACCGAGTCATGTTTTTGCTGAACACCCAAAAACAAAGTATCTTCAGGCGCCAGGAAGGTGTGGGTTGAGCGGCTGTTTCGGGTTCCATTGTCTTCCCGAAACGGCTTCCTTACACAGCCTTTGGGAAGCCCCCGTTGGACCACCCCTTCTTGGGGATTGCCTGGAAGAAGACAAAGCAAGCATCCCAAGAGGAAAGTAGTCTGTCAACAGGGGTCTACGGGGTCCCCCAATTCCATGTATCCACCTGGAGTCTCCATGAACCTTAAAAAATGGGTCCATGACCCCTTTCTTGGGTAATGACCAACCGTTCTTAAGTTGGTTATTGCAACCCCAAATGGTGGAATTGGGTTGCTTTCCACGATTTTTGATGGGTAAGGTCCTGAAACGGGTCCAGGTGCCCCAATGGAATTTATCCACCCGCATGGCTATGGGTCAAAATGAAGCCACCAGGGAACCGCAGGTTTTGGTCCATGTCTCCGCTTACCAGGGTTCCGGGTCCATGTTTCCGCTTACCGATTTCTGACCCACAGCCACATGTTTCATTCCCTTCAGAGGTCTGCGGAGATAACCTGGGGCTGGTGGACGGGCGCCACACCGGGGTGGTGCGCCTCTCCTTTGGGCTCTTCTCCACCTTGAAGCTGAGCTGAGAGCTCTTCAACCCAGCCCCCAAACCCGGGTTTTGGCGGCCTTTTTGATGTTTTGTTGTTTTTTAACGTCTTTGGAAGCTGAATGGTTTCTTGGTTGCTCCCAGCCATCCGGCTGTTTAGTGGTTGGGTTTCGCCTTGTTTTTTGGATGCTCCCGAGTCCGTTCTGTGGCTTCAAAATTTATCTTGGTGGCTCTGACATCCATCCCTTGTAAATTAGCTTTTTAGCTGCTTTTAGTTGGTGAAAGGTTGGGTTTCCGCACAAGTTACCCACAAGTCACTTTTTAGCAGATCTGAGGCCAGCCCGGTGTTTTTTATTTTATCTTTTTCCCTCGCGTTTTGCGAGGTCAATCTTTGGGTGCTTTTCATGCGCGGTACTCGTACTAGTACTATCTGATTGACATTTGCTGCGTTCGAGTTTGTTTTGTTTCTTGATCCAAGGCTTCAGCCCTGGGACTGAAGAGATGCCATCGGAATGCGATTGCAAGTACCCTGGAAATGATGAAGCACCAGAAAATTGGTGGGCCTGGATGTGGTTGGTTCACTTGCCATGGGGCGTCCGAGGTTTTTGGGAGGTTGTTTTTTTTCCACCTCCCGCGGCTCCAGCCAGAAGATTCCTGTAGGTAACCCGGGTCAGGGGCCGTGTTATGCGGTGCTTCCAGGCTAGCCGAAGGGCTGAGAAATTTCGCTTTAAGTCGTGTGCACATGCAAACGCAAAAGAATCGTGACGGTTGCGAGGACAGTTGCGTTACACTTTTAGAGTGTAGAGGTATGACATATCCAACTCGAAGTTTAACTTTAGGATCAGTAAGCCACGCAGTTCCGTGATTTTCACTGGCAGGCCTTCCGAATAAATGGGTGTGTCTCAACATAGAAAACTGTGAATGAATTTTCATAGCAACAGTGGAGCCGGATGTAGCGAGTTCCACAGACGGCCAGACCCCAAACAAGAGATACGGGTGTGTCTTGCTTTAGGATTCGGACCCCCAAAATGGCTTCGGTTTTACTGTTGTTTTCTGCTCTGGAAAGACAGACCCATATGAAACACACTCAAGCCGCTCAGCTCCAGGGTCGAAGTTCGGCTTGAAATCTCTTTCTCCGCCCAGGGATTTCGGAACCGCACGCCTTAGTGTGGCCAAGCAAGTGTCTCTCCTCATGTAGGGTTTAGCCAGAAGGGGTATCCACCGGGTAGCTCTCCCTCACCTGGCGTTTCCAAGTAAACCTCCCCATCTACCCATGAAGCCATGGTAACTCGCACATCCACGCGCTGTGCCGAAGAACAAGGCAAAACCCACGCGGCGAAAACGGCGTGAGTCGCGCCTTGAGCCTCGCTTTCTTGAGGAAGGACGTGGGCGCCTGGCTGAAGCTCCTGGACGAATGCTTCGTGGATGCGACACCAGAGGCGAAAGAGGCGCGCGAGGTGAGGTAAAACGAGCCCATGGATGAAGGGCCTTGCTGGCGGATCCCGAATTTTCTGATTCACCCCAAATGGTGGTTTGTGTGGGGAATAGGCTCCCAACCACCTTGTTTCAAGTTGGTGAAATAGTATAATTCACCCAGTTATTTCCGGGTTTGGGATTGTTGTAGAATTCGCAGAGTAATGTTGACTTCGGATCAATCAAAGGGACCCTGCTGAAAACACGCCTCTACCTGATCATCCAGGGTCAATTAATAAGTTTTACTCCACCTTTCAGGGGAAACACGTGCCACACTTGCGCCCGAAAGTAAACGCGACTCCAGGCGGCTGGGGTCGTCCGGGAAGCAAGGACCGAGTGTGGCTTGGGCTGAAGATGTGGAGGTTGAAGGCTAGGTCCCCCGGTAGTGCCCTTTCTCACCTTTTTTTTGGGGAGGGTTCCCCTACTAACTGGGGTGTTCAAAGGTAATCCTTAATCCTTACCTTGGGTTACGTCAGGGGCCCCCTTTGTGGCGGCTTCCCTATAGGGATTATGGATTAGGATTGGCCAACCCTCCATTTTGAACAGCCCAGACCAAAATACCGAAAAATGGGGTAGCCTTATTCTAACCTCTCAAATCTGGAGGACCTAGAAGGGTTGAAGCAGCTACGGATCTTCTGTCGGCGATTTAACCACCTTCAAGAGTTGGCTCGCCCGGGGGCGAGCCCGGTTTCCGGTTTCCCCGGGCGACTGTGCATGGACTTTCATGATGCAGGACCTTTCAGCAACGGAAGGATATGATTCCCCAAAAATCCGTGGGGTAAACGACTGATCTGTACCACCTCAGACACCCTGGAATGATTCGATTCCCCTGCACCAACAAGCAATGGCTTCAACTGGATGGTTTCATTTCGTGGTGCGATTGCTGCGTTTTCGCTTCCTGGTGGCAGAAGGATCCCCCTTTGCAGGCTAGGATCCATAATTTGCAGCTTGCTGCCAGGCGGCCATGGACGCCTGGAAACGCTGTAATGTTGACCCAGGATCTAAGGTGAACCCGTCCCTTTTGTTGGGGGGTGAAAACCCCCGTCCAAAAGTGGTCAATCCAACCACAAAAAGGAATTGGACACCCCCCGATCAAAATCAACCAGGGGTTTCTCAATCCGGGGTTAACATTAGAGGGGACCAATGGCGACATCTGGGAATCAGCAGCGTGAGGAAGACACCTGCTTTCAGACTTCCGAGCCCTGAAGCATCTAGCAAGGTCGGAAGGACCCGTATCATGGGCCAAAGAAGGCCTTGTCAAGACCTCAAGGCAAATTATTCCTGCACAAGTTCGCTGAGGCCTGCCTAGCAGCCCGGTGCTGGGCCACTTGTGTTCGCTGAAGGCTGGGTCAATGGGGGCTGATGGTCATAGACCCGCCTTTCGAGGGCGGCGCCTTTTTCTGGGGCTATGCCACTGACTCTAGACACGCTGAAAAGGAGAAAAGGAGCTTTGCGCCAGCCTACGGCGGACAAAGCTGGAACCCAAAAAGGAGGGGTTGCCCCACAAGGAGATGTCTTGAAAACATGAAGGCATGAGTGCCACCAGCGAGCCGATGTTGCCATTTTTTGTTGGGGCTGGGTCCCATAGCAAGAAGCAATCAGCAAGCATACAAGATCGCAACCGACGGCGTGAAGACCGGAGACCCGCACAAAGGCAATACTGTGGACGGCTGCGAAATCCATCTCGCACCGTTCAGACACCCTGGAATGATGATTCCCCGCCTGTAAATACCAGGAAACAAGGGTTTCCCACGCTTGCGAAGTGGTGCAGGAAAACGTTCATCCACAGTAGGTTCACTCAGCGACTTAGGAATTACAATGTAGAATGGCAATAAATGCAACTGCAGAAGGTTATGGAAGAACTTCCAGTACCACGGAACTCTAGTTCGCTCGCTATTTTGATAATCTTTTGGCGGACCCCCTCTTCGAGATCCATCTGAGGAGTGAGTTTGACGCATTTCTTACTTCTTCTTTGGTTCCCTTTTACGCAACTTCAAGAGGTCACCACGCAAACACGTGCATTCTGCCGTCCGCCTGTGATTTCACTCTCGACCCCCAGACAGCCGATTTTTGGCCGTCGTTTCAGAAGGAGCTGAACACCATAGGTGTGTTTTTGTGGTCGTCTAAGCATAGAGAGAGGGCACTAGGGTTGGTTCGAATCAATTACCAGGCCACGATCTTGACTGCTATTGGGTTGGATCTTTAGACTTTAACTTTTTGGAAAGTTGGACCGCCAGGTGACTCCTTTGCACGCATAAACCTGGCTACCTCAAAAGGTGCTCGACAAAGCCTGTAGCAAAGAAAAGAGGCCATCATTTGGTTGCTGGATCTTTGGACTTCAGCTTTTTGGTGGAGATGGTTATGATTCCCACCAAACAGCCCAGCAGCAAGCGAAAGAAGCACAAAACCTTTTGCTCGGGGCTGGGGCCACCCTGTGAACCTGTTTGGTTTCTTTAGCAGGGCTCCTTAAAGATACATTTTGCCCATTTGAAACATGGCTTTTTCCACCAAAATCAAGGGAAACCACCATTCACAAGGCAATGTTCAGGTCTGTTTAGGAGTTCAAGGCTCAAGTCCAGTCACTTCTGGCTGGTCAACCCAGCACTTACGTGTCACAAGCACCCGGCATTCGGGAGAGACCCCTCCATGAAAGTCCATTTCGGGGTTGCGGTTTCTTGGCTTCACCAAGAAGTGCGCCAGAATCCCAAAAGCTCCCCAAAAGCCGAGCGCTTAGGTTCCCCTCTGGCCGCGGTGGTGCGAAATGGATTTCGTAACCGTCCACAGTATCATAGGCCACCAATCATTTCTCCTTTTGGCTTTTGAAGGGTGCTTTTTGTTGGCCTACCACCACTGGTTTGGGGCCTGGTTCTATTTGGAGACCCCACAACCCCAAAACCCCAAGACTCCCAAAACTCCAACCCCTCCAAAACGCCAAAACCCCAAACCCCCAAAACCCCAAAACCCGTCACCGGACTCACTGGGACAGGGAAACAAACCCACTGGTTCCTTTGGCGTCGGTCGAGTGGCAGGTCTACCCGGTAAAAGGCTGCGGCCCGCTCTGTGTGCGCCGCTGGCCGCTGGAGGGCGGGGGCTTCTTCCTGGACCGCCGGTGGTGCCTCGTGCTGGAGAAGCGGAGCAGGCGGAGCGGCGGGCGGAAGTTCGCTGAAGCGGGGGGCGAAGCGCTGAAGCGGGGGCAAAGCGGACGTGTCCTTCTGTAAAGTGTGCCCGGTTTTTGGGCTTGGACGGGCGACCAAAAAGGAGCACCGCCGATTTTGGTGGGTCCCGTAAAAAAAAAAAAAAACACAAAAAACAGCAAGCCCAAATGAGCCACGTCCTCAAAAGCCGGTTGAGTGAAGGTGAGTAAGGGACGATCCCAGCCATGAGTAGCTGCGGACATCCGCCTCCTTAGGTCTTTGCAGGGTTCTGGATCGACCATTTTTGTACCAAGTTTTGATTGTGGATGGACAACAAATCTGCACCAGTTGCCCCGTTCGGGCTGCATCCATCCCTGGTTCGAAATGGAGTTGGTCCACAGGGCTGGTGGTTGCCCCTTGGGAAATGTTCAAACCAATTGTCAGTGGGACTCGTTGGTGGACATCATGTAATGTTGACCCCATGTGAATCAACCCCAGAGGGGTGTCCCTGGGTTTAGTGGGGAATCATCACTTTTGGAGCGGCCCCCACCCCCGATTAATAAACTGGTTTGATGAATACTGTGGATGGACGAAATCCTGCTCCCCTGTAACTACCAACAAGCAATGGTTTCCCATGGTGTCTTGGGTGCAGGATTTTGTGCATCCACAGTCTGGGGTCAACACTAGCTCGGGATTTGTGTCCACCAGCCACTTGGGTATGGGTCAAAATTAATCCTCCAGAAAAATCGGCAGTTGTTAGGCCTTGGTTCCATTTATTTTTGGGGTATGCGATTTTGAAAATTAAACGGCAGGTTTTAGGCCCAAGGTTTCTCGCACTAACTTGGGTATGGACGCAAGGTTTTAGGCCTTGGTTGCACTTGTTTTGGACCCACAGCCTGGTGTTTCCCCTATTGAAGCTCCTGGCCGGAAGATCGGCCCCCCCCTCGGATCGGCGGATCGGCTTTCGCCTGCCACCGAGGAAGCCGATGGTTAGTCAGCAGCCCATGCAAACCAACGAACATGGGCGGAAACAAAAACAAAAACGGGCGTGTCTTTGTTTAAGGATTCGGACCCCCCCCCCCAAAAAAAGCAACACACAACATGAAGCAAAGAAAAAACCATAAAACACATCTGGTGGTGTTTCTTAAGTAGTTGTGCTTGAACGCCACCAAAAGAAAGAGCACCCCCTCAAACACTGACACACCCAAATGCAGGTTTCAAACCACCAGGTTAACCAGGTACCTTCCATTTTCATTCTTTCCACAAATCCTTCTTTCTGAAAAACCTCCAAGCACCCAGGAAAAGCGGCTGGTTCTTGAAAAGAACGATGGATGAAAAGAATGGGGAATCAACCCCTAGATTAGTTTGAACTTGTTTCAACCGGTCTTGATTTAAGCAACCAGGGTGACTGGGATTCCATCAATGCAGACCGCCCGCTCAAAAGGACTTGCGGCTGCCTCGACTTGGCTGAACACAAGCCGGTTTTGGGTGTCTCAATTTGCAAGGCCTCCCCCCCCATAAAAAAGAGAGGTTGGTGTCCCTTTCCTGTTGGTTCAGTTTGGTTCCCTTCAAACCAGCCCAAAACGGGTACTCTCCAATGGCAGGTCTACACAACACCCATTTACTACTTATTGGTGAATCGTCAAAACGAGTGTCCGCCTTTCCTTTTTAAAGCGTTGAACCCAAAGCGGGAGGCAACAAAAAGCAGGCTGATATGAGCCATGAGAATCCATTTCATATCAGGGGTCCAAAAGATTCTGTGCAACGGGGATCCATTCTTTATATTTTCAGACAAGCCCGTATCGAGCGAGTCCAAGTCAAAATCTGGGACAAGGGTCCGAGGGGTGAGTCTGTGGGTACTGTGCCTGCGCTTTGGGCACCGCTTCAAAAGGGTCACCGAAGGACATGATTCTTTGAGGTGTTTGTTTTTAAAAATATGTTCGCGACAGCCAGGGTTGTTGTATGAACAGAAAAAAACACGTTTTGAGCAGAAAGGAATTCACAATGAGCATAAAGAATGTTCGTACTATGCGGAAATTAAGAGATCCGAAACGGGTGCCCCTTTTTGTTTTTTGGAGGGAAGACTAGCAGGAAGACTACGGGAGACTTCGGGAAGACTGCCGGGAAGACTACCGGAAGACTACCGGAAGACCACCGCAAGACTACGGGAAGACGAGACTTTTGGAAGACTATCGGCAGACTACCGGAAGACCACCGGAAGACTACCGGCAGACTACGGGAGACTGACGGGAAGGACGGGCAGACTACCGGGCAGACTACCGGAAGACCACCGCAAGACTGGAAGACGAGACTTTTGGAAGACTATCGGCAGACTCCCGGAAGACCACCGGAAGACCACCGGAAGACTACCGGAAGACTACGGGAGACTTCGGGAAGACTACTGCAGACTACCGGAAGACCACCGCAAGACTATGGGAAGACGAGACTGTTGGAAGACTACCGGAAACGGACGTGGTTTTGAGGCTATATTAACCCGCTAAGTACGTCCGAAACCGCGTCCGTTTCACGAAGGCTGCGGTCGGGAAGGCTACTGGCAGACTACGGGAGACTGACGGGCAGACTACCGGAAGACCACCGCAAGACTACGGGAAGACGAGACTTTTGGAAGACTATCGGCAGACTACCGGAAGACCACCGGAAGACTACCGGAAGACTACGGGAGACTTCGGGAAGACTACCGCAGACTACCGGAAGACCACCGCAAGACTATGGGAAGACGAGACTTTTGGAAGACTACCGGAAACGGACGTGGTTTTGAGGCTATTAACCCGCTAAGTACGTCCGAAACCGCGTCCGTTTCACGAAGGCTGCGGTCGGGAAGCTACCGGCAGACTACGGGAGACTGACGGGCAGACTACCGGAAGACCACCGCAAGACTACGGGAAGACGAGACTTTTGGAAGACTATCGGCAGACTCCCGGAAGACCCCGGAAGACTACCGGAAGACTACGGGAGACTTCGGGAAGACTACCGCAGACTACCGGAAGACCACCACGAAGACTATGGGAAGACGAGACTTTTGGAAGACTACCGGAAACGGACGTGGTTTTGAGGCTATTAACCCGCTAAGTACGTCCGAAACCGCGTCCGTTTCACGAAGGCTGCGGTCGGGAAGGCTACCGGCAGACTACGGGAGACTGACGGGCAGAGTATACCGGAAGACCACCGCAAGACTGGAAGACGAGACTTATGGAAGACTATCGGCAGACCCCGGAAGACCACCGGAAGACTACCGGAAGACTACGGGAGACTTCGGGAAGACTACCGGAAGACCACCGCAAGACTATGGGAAGACGAGACTTTTGGAAGACTACCGGAAACGGACGTGGTTTTGAGGCTATTAACCCGCTAAGTACGTCCGAAACCGCGTCCGTTTCACGAAGGCTGCGGTCGGGAAGGCTACCGGCAGACTACGGGAGACTGACGGGCAGAGTATACCGGAAGACCACCGCAAGACTGGAAGACGAGACTTATGGAAGACTATCGGAAGACCACCGGAAGACTACCGGAAGACTACTTAAAGGGGCATTAGTAAGTGGTTAGTAAGTCAGGTATAACCCACTTGCCATGGTTATAAGTCTCCTATGTGGGTTATAACCTGGCTTACTAACCACTTACTAAGTACCCTGCCCGTTCAAGTACGGGAGACTTCGGGAAGACTACCGCAGACTACCGGAAGACCACCGCAAGACTATGGGAAGACGAGACTTTTGGAAGACTACCGGAAACGGACGTGGTTTTGAGGTTATTAACCCGCTAAGTACGTCCGAAACCGCGTTTCACGAAGGCTGCGGTCGGGAAGACTGCCGGCAGACTCGGGAGACTTTTGGAAGACTATCGGCAGACTCCCGGAAGACCACCGGAAGACTGCCGGAAGACTACGGGAGACTTCGGGAAGATTACCGCAGACTACCGGAAGACCACCGCAAGACTATGGGAAGACGAGACTTTTGGAAGACTACCGGAAACGGACGTGGTTTTGAGGCTATTAACCCGCTAAGTACGTCCGAAACCGCGTCCGTTTCACGAAGGCTGCGGTCGGGAAGACTACCGGCAGACTACGGGAGACTGATGGGCAGACTACCGGAAGACTACGGGAGACTTCGGGAAGACTACCGCAGACTACCGGAAGACTTCGGGAAGATTATGGGAAGACTTTCATGAGAATTCCGTCAAATTCTGTCGCCAAGCTTGTTTGTCCAGACAATCGTGTTGTCTCACCACAAATGGATTGAGCTGTGTGGCTCCTGCCGGTTGTACTGAACATGTCCTACTGACCAATTCATTGATACTGCAACCTGTTTCCAGCATCGCCCGCCGTTTAAACACGGAGCAAACAACCTGCTCGGGATTAACGCCTCCGGGATTTGAGCCGTCACGGCTTGTGCCAGCAGTACTGAAGCTTACCCCCTTAGACCACTCGCGCAAGTGATGCTGCCATGCCCTGTCGCGGGTGTTGACGCGGGCCCAGCAAAGGGAAAATAGTCGGATTGCTTTTCCGCGCGGATCGCGCGTTCTTTTCCGCGCACTGCGTGTGCACTTTTCCGCTCCACAAATGTCCCTGGTTTTCCGCTCCTTACGCGCGGTCTCTCGCGACAGCACTCGACATCAGAAAGATATTTGTTTCAGAGGAACCTTTGAAGAGTGTATGTTCCACCAAATTGGGGGGGGGGAAGGTTAGAGCGCGGGACAAGAGCTGATGGTTGATTCGGAGAGGACAGAAAGCAGGGCAGGCTGACAAGGCACCAGGAGTCAGGAGTCATTCTACTCTTAGTGAAAAACACAGCAACCAATCCTACGCACAGAGAGAGAGAGAGAGAGAGAGATCCATAATACAATCCTGACAATCTTCATATATGTATATATATACAGATGCATATAACTATATATATATATGTATTGTTTACTCACATAACATATACATATACATATATATATATACATGATTTTTTGTACAGGTTGATATACGGCCAAGCATGATCACGGCCCAATGATCACTTTCTCCGTAGCCAAGACCCCGCAGAAATTTCGCTCAAACAGCTCCGGTGAGCGCCAGGCCGGTGAGCGCCAAGCAGGCGCCACGCCTCACCACTGTGAAGATGGCCCTGCGTCGGAGCGCCTCTCCGGCTGCGGCTTCTTTGGGGGGGAAGTTGGCGACCATCATCCCACCCTCTCTCCCGACATGAGCCACGCCCTCAAAACCTGGGGACCGATGAAGGTAAGGGACAATCCCAACCAGAAATAGCCGCGGATATCCGCCTTCTTGATTCTTGAAGCATGGTTCTGGGTGAACCATTTTAAATACCGGGTTTTGATCGTGACTCACATGGCACCGGACAAAATATCCTCTCACAAATGCTATTGGGAGGGATGGTGCATAACTTGCTGAAAGGTACCCTTCTTTTTGACGGGTGTCCTAATCCGTGGCCCGTGCGCCAACCCTATAGTCAGCGATCATGAGCGGCGTTGCCTGGCCGATCAGCGCAAGTGATGGAGATAGAAGCCGCAACCAATGTGGCAACCCTGATCAAACCCCAGGTTTGTTCTGGGGGGCGGGAGGGCCCTTTATCGAAGAGAGTCCTTTCTTCCGGCTGGGGCCCCTGAACTAATGGGGATCCCGGATAACAAGCAGAGAGTGATGAAAAAAAATAAGTACTTGGTTGTGGTGTCCTTCGTGGTGACACCACCCTGTTGGTAGGGCTTCTGAATCCCCCGCACAGTCATCACCCAGCTGGTACCTTTCTGGCGTTTTTTTTTTTTGAAAGGGGCCCCAGCCTAGGACACGGGCTCTTCGTGTTGGTGCTGTCCACCAAGTTTCATCCGGAGACTTTGGAGCTGGCATTAACGCTCGAGGAGGGCCAAGGGCGATTTTTAGTGAGGGTTTGTCAAAGCATATGGCTGTGGCTCAAAATTAAACAGCTGGGGTTACGCAGGTTTTGGTCCATGTTTCCATTTACCAGGGTTCCATTTGGGTACCGGTATTTTGAGCCACAGCCATATCAGAACGCTGTACGTGTAGACTGAAACATTTGCACTGGCTGGGTTTAAGGGACGGATCGCAAACAAGCAGGAAATGGAGGACCATTTACCCGCTTACCAACGAGCAAACGGATTTCCTTAAATGGAGGTTTCCAATCACCAACTCAGTTCCGGCAATTTGCAACAGCTTCTTTCAGACCGAAAGGAGAGCGCCATTTTGGGGGTAGTGTTCAGGTCCATGCAAGAACGTCACAAATGAAAGCCCGGAAGTATGCGCAGAGGGCTATTCTCCTGGTGTTTCAAGGGTGGCAAGTGGTTAACAAATCCAGCTACATGGTTCCGGGATGAGCGAGGAGATGCCACGAATTCATTTGCGTATGGGTCAAAATTTAAGCCGCGAAGATATGGACCGCAGGTTTTGGTCCAGGTGTCTGTTTTTCTGTTTACCAGGGCAAGCCATTTTGGGGTTACCCTACTTGGCCAGGAATTTTCCTTGCAGGACTCCCAGGTGCTCCAGTCCTGCCTTGACCCCACCGACTTCCCACAAGAAGACGCGGTGAAGGTGCCGGAGGGTAAGGAACCCAGCGCGTGGTTTGAGGAGAGCTGGCTCTCGCGCCTGCTTTCGCGAAAGTGGCTCAACGCAGGTCCTTTGTTTGTCGTCGTCTTTTTTCCTGTTCTAAAACTAGCCATAAACAAGTTGGGAATTCACCCCATCATTTAGGGGTCATGACTCATTTCCATGGAATTTGACAGGTGTTGCTATTTCGGCCTTTTGGCATCAGACCATCATCCCAGTGTGTTTGTGTGATGGCAGTAGAGTCCGTAATTCCGCCAAA